ATACCTGGTTTAGTTTCTTCATCATACTTTGCAAGGATTTCTTCGATATGATCCTGAAGTGTCCCATATTCCAACAATCGTCTGAAAGAAGAAAACATGGAAGACATTTCACAAATCATGTCCTTCAAGAGCAAATGTAACAACAGCTGGCTCCTTATAACACAGGTTGCTCACAACTTGAGCCTCTTTTACTTTCCCCTAAGAGATCTAAGTCACATGTTACGGTAGCTGTCTCTATAGCCAGGTAAAAATATCTTATTGAAAGCCCTACTGGGCACTGCTATGTTAGGCAATCTTGCCTGTGCAGGATTCCCTCTGTTGTAGTTTGCAACCAAAATCAATGGCTGGAGATATCTTGATCTCACACTGTTACTATACTATAATTTATAACTTAACACTTTTTAAAAGTTATGTGGGAAAAAATACCATTTTATACTTCAGTCAAGTGTCTACACAGAACATTGCATCAATTATGTGGCCTGATCGTCTAGTTAAGGGTACTCCTGAATAAAAATGAACTACCAATGACAGTACTTGACAGCTTGATAACCAAAGCAGAGGTCGTCGTCAGAATCAAAGTCTAAATAATCATGCTGGTGAGTGTAATATTCGGATATTTCTGATCAAGTCAGTATATGTGTAGGTTGATGAAGAGGGGATATAACAGCCAGACTACCTATACGAAGGATACGTCAAAGCTAAGGCTCGGAGAATTACTCCAATATGCAATCGTAAGTTTCGTGCGTACGATCGTGCGATTTAATGAGTTAGTAAGCTAGCTAGCGTCTTGTGTACAAGATAATCAGACATGTACACAAGTTAGCCGGCAAGAATTGAGCAAGCATTCGCGAAGTTAAGTCGTTTTCTCTATTTTTATACTCTTGCCACATAAAACTATTGCAGCGTACTGAGCTGAAAATATTCCGGCGAAATACCTGGGAGTTGCGATGTCTTCATCTCTTTTCGACGGAAACACAGTTGACAAGAATTGATCAACATCCATAATAAGCGTTACGATCTCCACAAAATTCCAAGATTTTGAC